GCTGTTGCATTGTTATTTAAGCAAGATGAGTTAGTGGAATTAAATTTGCAAAATTCTGATAGTTTAATGTTTTCTAATTTTAAATCCAACACATCTTTAGATAATCAACCCTATGTTCACAACTGTTTATCTGATTTTCAAACAGAAAATTCAAAGCACAATGAAAATAAAACAATTTTTCTTACAGATATTACAGGAAGAACTTACAAAATGCCAGTTTTGCTAATGGGTTCCAATAGCAACACAAGCGATCTTAACAATAAAACATTTGATTCAAATACAAACAAATTTAAAAAAATAAGTCAAACGTCTTCATTATCAAGAAGCAGTATTGAAGTAGACGAGTTATTCATAAAAAATTTAGACTTATCAATCCCTAAAAATCATATAGGTGAGTGTTTTAAACATTCAAAAACCATCTAGGTGAGTGTTTTAAACATTTAAATAGAATATTAGGAGTATACTTTATTTATGTTTTTAACTAGAACAATATTATTTTAGTAATATAGTTTTAATAATTTGTTTTTTTATTTAATCATAAAAGTTAGCTTCTCTGACTTAATCATGTTTTTAAAAATCTTATCTTTTTTTTTGCATTTCAAGACTTTATGTTTTAGATAAAATTTCGACTGATGGCAAAGATGCAACCATTACTGGTTCTTTGGCCATAGATGTTAACTTGGGAGTTTGGACTTCAGATATTAAAAAGGATATAGATATTCAAATAGAAAGCAATGATTGGAGCACAGAAATTTCTGAAATTTCAAATGGTATGCATCAAAGTTAAGTTGTAATTTGGTATTAATAGATAAATATTTTTCTATACTCACCTTCCAAATGCTTAATTGGTTGCTCGAGAAAGAAACAAGTTTTTAGTTTTAGTTTTAATACCCTTTTCTTAAGTCTATAACCCTGTTAATAAACTGCATTTATTTTCAGATTTGTCAAAGTTGGATTGGAAAACAACTTTATTAGAGATATCTCAGTTTAACTCAATATTCGATTGGCAAACCTCAATTAAAAATATAAAAGAAGATGATGTAAACCACCACCACCTATGGGTTTCAAAGTTTGCTGATGGAATAAAAAACACACAAAGTAATGATTGGACTACTGAAATTAAAAAAATTGAAAAGATGCCATCAAATAACTCATGGACCACAGTAATTAAACCTATAGAAAAACATAAGTCTAAAGAAAACGAATGGATTACAAAGATCAATCCAATATCAAAAAACACAAACAAAGACTCATGGAAAGTAAATCTTCCATCGAGACTAAAATCAGTGTTTCGGAAAAGTGACTGGAAAATGCATACTTCAACTTGTATAACTCAAGTTGCCAAATGGGAACATGAGCAAAACAATATTAAAATTGAAAATCATCCAAATGATTGGAGTACAGCTTGTACAAGTATTGAACCACGTAGTGATTCAAGTATATGGAACTCAAATTTATCATCTATAGAACCCATTGGTGAAGATAATAAGTGGATTATAAAAGTGAGTGATCTGGAAAAAAAACAAGAGAAAGATATTTGGAATATGAACTTAACTGAAATAGAAAAAAATGATAAATGTTCTGAGTGGAATTTTTATGTAAAAGATGTACCTAATAATGAAAAACAATTAAGTGATTGGCTAACTACTTTTAAATCTATTGACAAAGTTTTTCCTGAAGAAAATTTGTGGCTAACAATAAAGAATGATATTTTGTCACCAAATGAATTTGATTCTTGGAGCAGCACTTTTTACGAAACTGATGTAACGGATATGAGCCGCAGTTCATGGAAGTCTTCTGTTAATGACGTTCTTATTGATAGCTCAAATGACCAGTGGAAGGTTGAAATTCCCCAAATAAAGTACCAATAACTGTGTGCAAAAACGAGTTGATCCAACTATCTATCGATTTTAATCGCTTTTTTATGTTGTTTGTATTGTATCGAGTAACTGTGTACCTTTACAAATTATTTTTTGTGTTAATATTTTTACCAAATTTTTTTTTTGAATTCATGCACTAAAAAAGTAAACAAATATTTATACTTATCATATTAAGCTTATTATACTAAAAGAAAAACGACATTTCGACGTTTAATGCTTATTTATATCTTTTATTTATTTATATTTTTTATCTATATATATATATATATATGTATATATTTTATTTGTAGTGCAATTTTGAAAATTATTTTTATATTTTAGCAGCATATTTTGTTAAATAAATTTTATCAATATACATAAATGTACATTTAAAAATTTTTCAAAAAATTAATTATTTGCGGCCATTATCTCGGCAACGAATAACTGTGAAATAATAATTTTTGGTCTCAATCCAAAATAAAATGCAAAATAAAATTTAATTTAGTTTTAGGAAGAATAAATGGAAGAGGTTTATTCGATTCTATGCTTTAATCTGGGAAATAATGTGTGATGTTAGTTGAGAATTTCTTTAAAAATAAGAAAAATATAGTTTTTAAATCTCACAAACCAAATGGGTCTACCAAATATAGAACTCAATTGCGTTCAAGATTTTCTATATATCTAGTTGTTTCTTCTCAGAGGTGTGATGGCTTTAACGATGGCAGCATTCTTTTGTAACCGAAAAAAGAAATATATATATTCTAATTATAATTTTATGGCTGAGTAATATTATAGTACCAAAGCTCAATTTAATTTTTTATAATGTCCCAGACAAAATGTCCGATCGACACTTGTTTGCGTCGGACAGTGTCCGATTAAATTTTTTTAATATAATTTTTACGGTTTTAAGGAACCATCGAAATCTTTGTCGTGTTATTAAGTTGAGAATTGTAACTGTAAATTTGATTTTTGGTATTATTCTCATGACAATGACAATACCAAATTCCCCGGATCTTAATCTTATAGAAAACCTGTGGGAGCTATTAAAACGGGAGGTTTCTTCAAAACAACTGGTGACAAATAAAACCCAGCATATTGAAAAACTAAATGAAGGTTGGCATCGAAATCCTCACATAAAAGAATTGGCACAGAAATGCATTGACAGCATGCCACGGAGATAAATAAAATTTCACAAAAATGTGTAGAAAACTCAATGGCCCTATTTCAATGGCCACCCATTGTCATGAGTATTATACCAAAATGATTGGTATTAACGTTATATACGACAATTGTAACGTTAGTTATTTTAAATATTTCGCACACTTTTGCTTTTTTTTTTTTTAATTAAATAGTTCCAATTAAAAATAATTGCACACTTTTGCTTTTTTTTTTTTTAAATAAAATAGTTCCAATTTAATATTGTATGTTTTTTTAGATAGACTTAAATTTTCACGCTGTAACTGACAAGGCTCATTTTTTTTATTCTTTACAACTACGGCTGTTTGAATGTTTTAACTATTAAATGCAACAACAAAAAAATCGTTACGTTACAAATAACTTTTAATCAATCGTTGATCGTTTTAAAAGTTTTTATTTTATGTGAAGGCCTAAAATAAAAGCTTTAAAAAGCTTTAAACAAAATCAAAACTTTTAAAAACTTTAAATAAAATCAAAAATTGTAATTTAAAAGAAACACATGTGTAAATTAAATGTTATATTTAATTTTTTTTATTATGTATGTATTTTTTATGCTAAATTTAAACGTTTGAAATTATTTGTAAGATACTAATAAATTTAAACGTTTGAAACGTCTAAAATAGTTTCAAACATTTAAATTTATTATAGAAAGTCTAAAAATTTTTTATTAAAAGATTATTATTTTCAAGATACTTAAAATTATGAAAAAGTTAAATAAAATCTTCCCAAGATTTAATTGCCTTTTTTTTGTGTGTCTATTTTTACAAAGAATTGTTTAAAAGTTTTTTGTTTTTTTTTCAAACGACTTTTAATCAAAGAATGAAATGATTAAAAATTACAATTTTAAAAAGACAACGTTTTTTTAAACAATTTTTTTTTTTTTGCATTTTTTTGAAAAAAATGTTTAAAGAGCTTAAAAATATTATATTTTTTTCTTTTCAATAATTTAAATAAAATTTGTTTATTTATTAAACAATCAATAAAAGTAATTTGTAAAAGCGTTTTAGGTAACTTTCAAAAGATAAGTTTTAAAGTAATTTATTTCAAACGCAGTTAAAAACCTAACAAAAAGTAATTTTAATTTCGAGTTTTTTGAGTTTTATTTTATCTCAAAAAACTTTACTTTTAATTTTTATAAATATAATAAAGTATTTATTTTATAGAATTTCTTACGGTCAAAATGTCCGATTACTTTGTAAATTGATCAGACAATTTGAAGTTTTAGCCGGTCAATATCCGATGTCCGACCGTTAAATTGAGCCCTGTAGTACTATGGTACGTTGGAACAAAATACTGCTTTTGTCAAGGTGAGTTTGTATTCTGTACATCCAATGTTATAATGGAATACGTAGTGCTTTGATTTGATTATTACTTATTAGTACAATGAATTGTTTCAAAATTTGTAAGCCAGCATAAGTTCAGTTGATCCTTGGAAGAAATTGCTGTTGTTGTTGAGGTGGGTTTATATATTCATTATGTACAATGTTATAGTGGAATGACTAGTACTCAAAGATAATGATGAATCATTGCTGTGATTTGCATATTCTGGTTTCAGCTTTTAGATTTCGACATAAATACTGTTAAAAAAAAGCAGTAAGGTTGCGGACTATTAGACAAACAAAATTTGATAAATTTCGGAATATTGGTGACTACAAAAGTCAAAATTTTTCAATGAGTTAATTTTTAAAAGCATTAATCTTAAAAGGCAATTAAAAGACACATCCAGTAAAAAGACACATCCAGTAAAAAGACACATCCAGTAAAAAGACACATCCAGTAAAAGACACATCCAGTAAAAAGACACATCCAGTAAAAAGACACATCCAGTAAAAGGTTTCATAACAAGGAGTATTATGTTAATACATTCCAAGTCTGCAGGGATTTGTCTCTTAATACCTATGGTATATCAACTAAATAGGTGAATACCACATCTAAATTTAGAGGCAACGATATGACGGACATAACAAGGACAATTCTCAAGCTCTCAAGATAATGCTATGTTCAAATGCATATGAGTTAAGTCAAAATATTTAACAAATGATTTTCTAGATTCAAGTCTCATTACTGAAAGAACAATACCGGTTCGGAACATTTAGCACCAGATGCCACATTATCAAAAATGTTTTTTGTTCTAAAAGAAGAATCGGTAAACTAAACCCCAAGTTTTTTATCTTTTAGGAGAATATTGCTTAATAATTTTTAATTTGAAATTTAAATCTTTTAAAAAAAGATACATGCAATAATTGTGAAGAATTAAAGAAACAAAACTGTGACAGTAGTGAAGAAAAGCTGTCACTCAAAATTAGAACAAATGCTAATACTACATTATGGCCGGTGGTCAGAAATTAATTGAAAAAGATATACTGAAAGCGAAGCAACTCCATGATTCAGAGTATTTGAGATTTGACCTCCAGAAAACGCTTCCTTTTTTACTAATGCCAATAATTTTTTTTTGTATAAGCGCCAACTTTGGGTGTATAATGCATGAGTACACTCAAACAAATAAGAGGTTTACATTGTGTCAAGATCGAAAGAGAAAGCAGTACGTGTGGACCAAGAAATCGGGTCCTGCATACTAAAACTTTTTGAAACATATAATGAAAACAGGGACAAAATAAATTGATTTAAGTCGAGAGAAATAACGATTGCATATTAAATATACAAATGCTCTCCAATGAATAATCTTTCAATAACAAAAATTTAATCTTTTTTTTAACGAGAACGAAAACAAATTTTATTTTATGGATAAAAAAGTTATGTTTGAATTTTTTAGCTGAATAAAACTTGTATTGAAAATTATTATGGAACAAAAATAACTGTGTTCTACTGTTAAAATAAGTCTGACATTATAAAATTTTCCTTATATATTCACAACATATATGCTTTGCAACTTATAAAAACCTTGTTAGAGCAATTTTGTTGATTTAAATGCGCTCGCCTTACAAGCAAGAAGTCGCAAATTTGATTTCCATAACATCCTGGAAGTACCGCGCTCAACTTGTTTCTCCGCGCAGCGGCTTTGTTCGCCAAGGTTCGTGTTTCGTAATTATTGAGTTGAAGGAGAATTGTAACCACAATCAAAATAGGCTCTTCAACTCTCGTAGTCTTCTCGGTCTTGGGGAGGTGAATTAACATTAAAAAAATAAAAAAAGCTATTCGTTTGTAAATTTTTATTCCATTTATCTTAGAGATTTTTATTGTGGGTAATTTTCTGTTTAATATTGTCTGTTTAATGGTTCAACAATAACTTTATCATTTATCTCAGTTATCATTTATCTTACTTATCATTTGTTTTACTTATCATTTATCTTACTTATCATTTGTCTTACTTATCATTTCTAAAAAATCTTTTTTGTTGCTATTATCTTAAATCCCATTTATTTTAGGCTATCTATAAAAAGTATTTTAAATATCCAAATTTACATAGCCTACTCTTATCTCCAATAAATATTCCTAAAGTCTTCTATCTTATATCTAAGTTGAAGCTGAGAAAATCATTAAATCCAAACACCATTTCCACAAATATTTTTTTAATTTTTGTCAAACAGTCACAGCTAGCTTTGGAATAGCTTGACTTGATATTTTTAAAAATAACTTTTTCAAAACCTGTGCTATTGACATCAATTTTAAAAATAAAGTGTTACTTTTTTTTGAATTTAATTAATTATAATTATTCAAAAAAATGTAAAATAAATGACATAAAATAAATGACATTATCAATATTTTATCAAGTGAAAATAATCAATATAATACAGTATAACCTTTAACTATGCTAATTATGTAATAATGCTAATTATGTAATAATACTAATTATGTAATAATGCTAATTATGCAATAATGGTAACTATGTAATAATGCTAATTATGCAATTATTGTTTTAAACAAACATTAAATTCTAAACATGCAATTTAAGTAAAATGCATATCAATGCATGTTTGAATAGTACCTATGTTTAGAACTTTTAAAAGTTTTAAACTTAGATTCGTTTTTTAATGTTGGTAACTACTTTAGTCATCCTTAAAAACATTTACTTTTTCAAGTAAACTTCAAAAGCATACCAAACCTAATATAACCATCAAATGTTCTTCAGGGCGTGACGGTTGGTTAACGCAAACAAAAGCAAATTACTCTAAAATCGCATCTTAATAGAATATCTTCTGCAAATATAAATAAAATATATTTTTAAAGGCCAAATTAATTTCATAAAGATATACATACAATATTGTATTTAAAAATGAATTATTTAGTATTTATTTTCAAATAACTTTCCGTGATGATAAGACAAAAGTTGATTTGGTTAGAATATGTTATTATTTATAATACTTACTGGTTTCGCTTTTTTTACTAGTTGCACAAATGTTAAACGTACAGCGGTAAGCAATAGATATACTTTTTTTATTGTATGTTTACAAATCGTCTATAATTGTACCATGTATGTGTGTATATTTATATTTACAATTTTTCATGTTATAAAAGTGCCATTGAATTAAAAACCCAATTATATTTTTAATAAGTTTTTAAAGTATTTGTAGAGATGACATTAATGGTAGCAAATGAAAGTGCGTTTCATGTTTTCGCGGCGCGGCTCGTGAAGCAATCGCTTTTTTTGTCGAAATTTTTTTTACCATTTACTTCATGAATTACTGTCTGTGACCCTATAAATTATAATTAAATAAATATGGAATATATATTTGAGGCACAACGAGTTTGTCTTTTCAAATTTATTTTAAATTAATTTATCATTGTATTATTCTACAGTTCAGAACCCAAGAACGTGTAACCACTCCTTTGATGGGTTTATTTTAGTTATTTCTTTTGTTGCTTTTTTTTTTTGTATATTATTGAGTTGTTGCTATTGTCTTGTTTTAAATGCAGACGGTTTATTTGGAATACTCTTGGTGTGATACACTACATAGCTAAGTGTTCCAAACTTTCTACAAACAAAAACCTCGCTTAAGACATCGTACTGCATTGCCTTAAGATTTTGGTTCCAAAATACTATAATTTAATTCTTGTTTAATCGAAGCAACTTGAAGTTTTTTTTGAACGCCTTCTAGTTTAACTACTAGTTTTTAACTATTTTTATTTTTACTATTTCTCTACGTATAAATAACTCTGTTCTTTTTTTTTAGCCGTTGGTTTTAAAGTTAATAAAAACGTTAAGCTCAGCAGCTTCTTTATATAAATTGACAAAGACAAACTAATTTTCATTAGGTTTCAAGGAAACTCTCCAAGTAACGTGTTTATATTTTAGTAGAAAATAAAGTTACAATCTGTTATGTTTCAGATATGTCTTTTTTTTATGAATAATTATAGTTTAAATAATTCATTAAAAATGACTCTCTTATAAGACAATAAAGCTATCCTGATGGGAATGTTTCCAAGTGTATCTCTATAAATCCTTATGGGAGTGTTTCCAAGTATATCTCTATGAATCCTGATGGGAGTGTTTTCAATTGTATCTCTATGAATCCTGATGGGAGTGTTTCCAAGTATATCTCTATGAATCCTGATGGGAGTGTTTCCAAGTGTATCTCTATGAATCCTGATGGGAATGTTTCCAAGTGTATCTCTATGAATCCTGATGGGAGTGTTTCCAAGTGTATCTCTATGAATCCTGATGGGAGTGTTTCCAAGTGTATCTCTATGAATCCTGATGGGAGTGTTTTCAAGTGTATCTCTATGAATCTTAAATAGTTTCTCAATACTGTTAGAACAATGAGTTATAATTAGATTCCGGTTTTTTCTTTCTAGAGTGTTGATACGTGGATACAGAGACAATTTTACGGGGTGTGTAGGGGATGTTACACCCCCTGCCCCCGAAGAGGGGTAATTTTTAAGTTTTTTTTTTTTTTTTTTTTTTTTTTTTTATAATTTAGCCGTACAAATATTTACAAGTTCCGTAATTTAAAATATTTAAAAATGGCAAGGACGAGAAGAAGACGGGGTTGTCTTATCACCAAGTCCCTTGTTTGTCTAGACATTTATATAAATACATGGTAACTAAAATGAAAATTAAAAAATTAAGAAAAAAGCAAAATATTACAAAGAAGTTTATATAAAATGCAAAATAGTTTAATAGTTCAAAGTTTTGAAAGATATTTTTTCGATTTTATTTTTTGAAAGAAAAACTTAAAAGTTCATTCAGAAAAACAAAAATATCAAAAAACTAAAAAACATGAAAAAAGTAAACGTAAAATTTAATTTACAATCTGTTCTTATAAAGTGTAATATATTAATTCCTCAAAAACAAATTACAAAATATTAATATAAAAAATTAAAACTCAAAAAAGATTACTTTTTTTATTTTTCCTCTCTCTCTCTTATTTAAGAAAACTAATAAATTTATTTAAACTAAGGAAATCTAAAAATGCTAAAAATCTTTATAAGTACTTTTTTTATAATATAACAGACTGTAATACCTATATAAAATTAAAGAATTTAGACCTTCCAGACAAATAAAGTATGCATTAGTAGATAGTTTTAAAATATAATATTTTTATAGATAGATTTAAAAATAATTATCTGTTTGTTCATTATTTAAAAGTAATAGTTTTAGTTTTTGTTTAAACTGATCAAGAGTTTTAAGTGTTTTAATATCATTACTGATTATCTTATTCCATGCATTAGGTCCTCTAACAGTTATTGAAAACTTGGTGGAGTCGTATATAGTTTTGGGTTGAACAAAGTTGTTGTTAGAATATTTAGTTACGTATTTGTGTTGAATTTTATTAAATAATGGTTTGAAGATATTTGGTATTGAATTGTTATTAATTTTATACATAAAAATCAGAAGATGATATATATTTATTTGGTACACATTTAGTATTTTTAGATTGTTAAACAATGGTCTTGAATGTGAGAGGCGGTGTGCATTTGATAATAATCTAATTGCATGTTTTTGTTTGCTAAATAGCTTTTTTATCTTTGTTTTATTGGTGCTACACCAAGCAATGTTTGCATAATTAAGATAAGAATGTATAAATGAGTAATATATGTATTTCAAGCAGGATTGATCTAAGAATGGTTTTGCTTTATAGAGTAATCCAATATTTTTAGAAATATTATTTTCAATCATGTTTATGTGGTCTTTCCAATTTATGTTATCATCTAGAATTACACCTAAAAATTTCATCGAACATTCTCTTTTTACGATGTAATCTCCAATAATAAGTTATGGTCGGTTTTTTTACGAATTTAGTTGGCTAGTCAGGTATTTGACACAATTTAGTCGGTTAAATTTTCGCTTGAGGACTTTTTTTTTAAGAAGCCAGTTGGTACTTTTTGAGGATTCGCCCCCAACCCTCCTCATTTTATTTGTAGAATCGCCTCTGCGTGAATAATATAATTACTTAAGTGAGATGGTAATTTACTTGGCTTTTTTGACATTTAAATCACTTTGATAATTATTATAAACATGCGTAGTGGTAGCTGTATCCAGGGCCGGCGCGAGTAGGTGTCACGTGGGGGGGTGCCATTACAACTTTTGCCGACTAAAAAAAAAAAAAAAAAAAAAAACGTCCTCGTTTTCCTAAATTTGCCGACTGTCTAACCTATATCAAATAGGGGTCCACATTTGCCGACTAACTAGGTACAATTTGCCGACTAAGGGTCCAATTTGCCGACTAAGGGTCCAGTTTGCCGACTAAAAATCATTGATGGGGGGGTGTCACACACCCCCCACACACCCCTATCGCGCCGGCCTTGGCTGTATCACTATCAGTATCACTATCAGTATTGAGTTAAAAAAAAATAGATTTATTTTTAACTTTAATATTATTAATTAACTTTAATATATATGTATGTATTTATTAAACAATCTAAGTATAATTGTAAAAGTATAATGTAAAGTCTTAAAAGCTCTTCTCATGGTTTATACTTTTTTGGATGTTTTAATTTCAGGAACCTTTTGATAAAGGAAGAAATGAAAGCGAGAAAATGTATCAACGTAAAAGAAAATTTGAAGGATTACAAAATTTTTTACCAATTAATAAACAAAGACACAAAAAAATTGAATATCCTGCATACATACTTATTGCTTCAAAGTATTTTGAATCGCTATTGAACAAAAACAGTATTAACAACGAACGCTCTGTTATTTTAAACAATACATCAGCTGATAAAATAAGTTCAAACAAGAAGACTTACTCCGAATCAGCTCACTATAAACTTTCTAGAAAAAATTCGGAAGATACAAATCAGGTTCACAATACTGTAGATGGTCTTGTTCCCATCAAAGGTACAAAAAGTTTTAACAATTTGTTTTTATTGAATCCAGAAAGTTCATTTATATCAAATGTAATGCAAATACGCGACAAAAGTATACCGAAATATTTTAGATTTAATCGTATTTCTAATAATTCATTTATCAATCCGAATGGAATATTTAAAAACTCTCAGATTTTGAATAACAAAGTTTTTAATGCGAACAGTAAATCATCTGACTTACTGTTCAAACCAGGTTTAAAAGGCGATACGATGGTTGATCAAGGTGACCTTCGTAGACAAAAAGCAAATAGAGAAGAAGTTGCAAGTGTGCGCACACTTTTAGAAAACGAAAAGGTCCTTGAGCTTAAAAGTAAACAAGAAGAGCTAGAAGAACAACAGCTTGTAGAAGAATTACAGCTCCGAGAAGTGCGTAAAAAAATTTTAGAAAAAAAACTTCAGAAATTAAAATTGGAACAATTAGAAATAAATAATAAACTGCAAGCACAAAAACAAGAACTTCTTCTACAACGTATAAAAGAAAAGTTAACAAAAAAGAAAAAAGACATGGAAGAACTTAGTGAAAAAGAAAAGATGTTGAGCGAAAGTCTTAAAAAACTGAAAGAAAATAAAAAAAAGCCACTCTTTGCCGAGGAAAATGCATCAATACTTTCAAGTCTTAATAAAAGCTTTACAACAAATGAAAACGGAAAAAACTTGTTATCAGTTGCAGACACTGAAAACACTAACTTAAAAGGATATAACAGTATGCATTTTTAATTTATAGGTTTTATGTCATGTCGAGTTACTTTTATGTAGACAGCATTATCTCATGCAGAGCCTAAACTTATTGACGTATATAGGTGACACATCCGTATCGGAAAAATATATATATTTTTAAATGTATACATTTTGTAAAAACTAACAAAGTATAAACATTTAGTAAGGCTTCTAAGCATCTTAACAATGAAATGTTTAGGCTCTGTTCCAATATTGCGCATCATTCCAATTTGTTGATGTCGTTGATGTCACTGACAATGTTGTAGCTTTTGTTATGTATTGTAGTTCATATTCCTTTGCAATACGCCTTGCAGCGTGTTGATGTATCTGTAGTGGATTATTGAGTTGTCAAATTTTTTAAATTAATGTTGCAGCTGGTGTTGCTTTATGATGATGTTGTTTTTTTCATTATGTTATGTCGTCATTATGTTGTTACTTTGATTTTGTTGTTGTTTGCGTGTATTAATTAATATTGATGTTTTTCGTGTTTTTGGTGCTTACTTTTAATGCGCCTTGATAACGTTGCTACTAATAGGTCTTGATGGTGTTGATAGTATTAATGGCGTTAATGGTGTTTATAATAATTTAGATGCTTATACTTTTGATACTGTTAAGTTTTGATAAACCTATATTATAGTCAATTATAGCAAAAAACAGTTGATTCATTAATTTCTCATTTTATTTTATGTAAATTTTATTAGTATTTTATAAAATACTTTTTATTACTTACCACACATTTTGTAAAATTATCTTTGATTTATAACTTAATGCAATTTTCAAATTCATTTTTAGGCGAAGTCAAACAAGTTTCTACAGAACTTCATAGCCAATATAAGAATAATGAACAAAACAGTTGTTTAGATTACAATGGGAGTAATGAATACTGTCACTTTGATAACGAAGAACAAGAGGAGTTACCTATAAATCCAGAAAGATCAGCAGATCGTTCATTAAATTATAGTTTGGATGCAACACATAACGAACTAAAAAGTCAAACGGAAAGATTTAATAAAAGTAATGGTTATCCGGTTGTTAACATGCTTGAAAATCAAAATTACCCAGATATAAAACCAGACGAATTAAATCCTTTAGATGCTTTTCTCGAAAATCGAAATCCTATTGATGATAAAAGTTATAACTTGAACACGCAAGCTGAAAACGTATTACACTCAAGCAAAAGTAACAATCTTAACGACTTTGATACAAATGAAATGTCAATAAAAAAAAAAAATCCAAACAAAATACAAAACATTGGTTTAAAGAACATCACAGAAGCTAATTTTACTTTAAAAGAGGCGAAACTACTTGAAACATTAGATAGAAACATTACATCAAAAGATGAACTTCTAGATAAAATGGAAACTACATCAGAAACAACTAACCAACCTAAGGAAACAACAAACGCTCATGAAACAAATGCAGAGGTAATTATTTTAAACAACGAAAACAACTTCACAAAGGAAAAAAAGAAATTTATGGAAGCAGGGTTAGATAAAGGTGCCGAGTTTATTAAAGATAGCTCAACTCAAACAAAAGTTAATGATAAAAATGATCAATTTTATTTAAGTGAGGATAAAGGGAGTGAAAAAGAGTTAAACGAAAAATTTGGCAAACACTATGGAGAGTATCCAAACGTAGTTCCAAAAAAACAAGGCACTACAAAAAATGTTGATTTGCATCCAATAATATACAGAGACCCTATTCCTGGTTTAAATAAAGGTAAAAATAAGGTTACAGAATTATCAAATGAAATAAATACGTCCAAAATATTAAAATTAAATGAAACCGTAAAATCAAATAAAACAACCCTGTTAGATAAAGTAAATTCCACAAATCAGTCAAAAACAAAAGCAGAAAGTGTTAATTTTCCTAAATTTGTTAGTAAACTGAAACAAACACAAAATCAAGTCAAACTAGGAGATAAAAATACAGAAAAAGTTAAACCCGATGAATTAAAAAATTTAAAAGATAACAAATCCAAAGAAGAGTCTAAACAAGAAATTCTTAAATTAAATAAAGATAACAGCAAAATAAAACAAAATTTTGAAAAAGAAAAACTTGAGTCAAAACTCCCAACTAAACCAAAAAATGAAAGTCATATTTTGACAAAAGTAAATTTAGACAAACTGAAAGATTTCAGTAAGGTTGAAAAACAAGGGGGAGACAAATCTAACAAACAAGGAGATGACACATCTAAGACTAATAAACCCATTCTTGAAGAAACAAAATTAAAAAAACTCGCTTCAGCAACTAAAAAACCAATTTTAAATAAAACTGATAATCAAATTAACAAACTATATAATGAAACATTTAATAATGATAAAGTAAACACTAGCGCAGAAGATAAAAGTGACAATATAAAGTTTTCAGCACAAGTCGATCGAGATTCATCCAATCAAAACAGCAAAAGTAAAACGAATAAAATAGCTGAGAGCATAAAAAATAAACTATCAAATGAAAATATATTAAAAAATAACAAAAATATAACAAAGATGTCATCAGCCAAAAGTACATCAAACTTAAATAAAGTACTCACAAAGAACCAAACGAATCCCGATAAAATCACAATTGAAATTGATCAAAATGCAGAGGGGTTTGCGCCTCATCCAATAAAGATACGGCCGGATTTGCTTTATTCGTATTCTTCAGTAACAACAACCAAACTACCTAAAACTGAAATAAATTCCGCAGCAGAAAAAAAACCCGTTACAAATCCATCCCCAACAAATCCACCTACAAAAAACCCCCCAACAACAACTTTAAAAAAGACTTCTTCAAAACCGGTTTGTCAATCCAACGAATGCTCTTCATACTATGGTAAAAATAAAATTTTTTTTTTTTTTGTTTTATCAAATTTAAACATAAATTAGTTTATTAAAATCGTTTTTTAAAACCTTTTTTTTTAAGTAATGATTTTTTATATTGTTTTTATTCGACTTTTTTTATTTCGAGTTTTTATTCGACTTTAAGAAGTACTTGCTTTAATCTATTTTAATCAACTAAAATTAAAAAAAAATCTTTTTAGATTTTTGCAGAACTAGAAGTACAGGAACATATCCAAACGAACAAGATTGCACAAAATATTGGATATGTGTAAATGGAGTTACATATCCTGCGCAGTGCGGAAACGGACAATTTTACAACGTCTCTGTAAATCAGTGCACTCCTTTTCAGACAATGGATGTAACAAGTATATTTTGGACTACATGTGATAAAAAAAGAAACTCCGTTGTTGTAGAATAGGTCATTGGTTTTAAACTATGAAAATGCATTTATAATGAAGCATACTTGATATACTTATATAAAAGTTATAAATAACAACGTATTATAAACATTTTATCTTTGATTTTTCAAATAAAACAACAAAATAAATAGAAGAAAATAAATGTAAATAATAATAATAATAATAATAATAATAATAATATATATATATATATATATATATATATATATATATATATATATATATATATATATATATATATATATATATATATATATATATATATATATATATATATATATATATATATATATATATATATATATATATATATATGTATATATATATATATATATATATATATATATATATATATATATATATATATATATATATATATATATATATATATATATATATATATATACAATATGTCAATAGATCCCTTTAAATTTAATAAATAAATGTTACAATAATATATAACTATATTCTCGACAGTATTAGGCTTTTTTATATAATAAATTATTTTAAAATAAATTGCTGAGATGTTTTAAGTATTTATTCTTGTATTGTTACACTGGTAAGAACATTCGTTTTGCTTCAGTTCTTTCAAGCGATAATCTTTTGAAAAATATGAATTGATATTTTGAACTCCATCTCGCACGCGATCTGTTTTAGCACCTTTACTAATTAAGTAAGAAGCACATTCAAAATTTCCTCCTAGAACTGAATAGTCGAGACACGTAAAACCTTCGTTATCAACTTTTGAAATATCTGCTCCGTTATCAACTAGGATTTTTAATCCAATCAAATTTCCATCAATAGCTGCTTCGTGTACAGCGGTAATACCTTTTGAACTAGCTATGTTTATATCAACTAATTTTGATTCAATAATTTCTCTTAAACGTTTTTCGTCAAAACTTCTAACAGCTTGTCGCAAAAGAGAAGTCTCATTTTTAATTTTTCGTTTCGATTTTCCTAAAAACTTTCCAATGTCGAATCCTAGCAGAGGAACATAAGTTATAAAGCCAATTTTCTTTTGTGACGATTGTAAATCATCTTTTTCGTTTTTGAAGCACTTTTCAGAAAAAGTGTTTGATCGTTGATCATTATACAGACAGTCTTTGAGAGATGACTCTGATCTAGACATTCGACGTGCAAACTCATAGTTTTTTACACTGTAATCCATTTTCCTAAGAAAAAAAAATTATATAAACTTAAAAAAAAAAAAAAAAAAAAAGAAATATAAAAGTTATTACACGCCGGTCACCAAACGTTTTTATGTTTTATAAAAAAAATTACTAACATTTTATTTTTATTACTGATAATACTAAACTACTTTGAAAACATTTGTGTGCGTTGTCATTACTATCGTTATTACTTGCGTTTACTATCGTTAAACAACAAAGGTAAATGAACTATAAAACTTTAATATTCATAATATGTATTTATATGCTATAAATTTATTTTACTAATCTCAAGGAGATACCGCTTTCTTGCGTAATGATCTAGTTATTTGAAACGATTTAAGAAAGATACCAATACTTCTATAATTTTGTATCATTATTGCGCAATTTGAAAGATTTTTTTTATTCAAGATAACAATTGAATTTTTTTTATGTTCGATTTAGCATCAGATTATTTATTAAATTAATAAATTTTTAATATTTTAAGTTAAAACCGACATCCGTATTTTAATATTTTGTAAAAAAGTCCGTTAAAGCTGTTTTTTTAATTAGATACTAGTTACGTAAAAGGGTTTATTCACTACAGAACACGTTAATTCACTTTGTTTATTACCAAATGTTTATTATGGTTAATGAATGAAATGTCATGTTTATAGTAAAAAAAGGTTGCAAATGAAACGCCAAATTTATAGTCAGAAGTTTAACAAAGAAAAATCGTTTTAAAAGTAACAAAATTGTCAAAGAATTACTCACTTATCCAGAAACAACTATAAATGGAATCATGTTATAAACTAAATATTTTTTGAGTTGGAAAGTTGGTTTAGAAGATAATATCTTATTTAATACTTTTCTTTTTTTATCAAAATAATATTCATCTTTACTTAAATTATTCATTGAAAAATTCAATTTTTTGTTTGTTTAATAATATTTACAATATAAATGGATACACAAACAAAAACATTGGCTGGGAAGCATTGGCTTGAAGAACCATTGGGTTGGCATAAAAATGAAATTATCTTGTCTTATCACCGTACCCCGTTAATACGTGCTTACAAAACTTCAATGTACTTTATAAAGTTTATGTTTTAAAAACTAAATTAATAATAAATATAAAAATATAACTTTGTGACAACTTTTTACTTGGCTTTTTACTCTTACATTGTTTTACCCTATATATATATATCCCCCTCATATTCATATCCCCACATATACCACCACACACACAGATATATATATATATATATATATATATATATATATATATATATATATATATATATATATATATATATATATATATATATATATATATATATATATATATACATACATATATATATATATATATATCAACCCCTAATTTTTAAAAATTTTAAAGGTTGAGATAGCATTAAGGTAGTGGGTAATGCATTGTCTGCAATAAAAGTCTAAATTGGCCTCTTTTGCAAAATCTTAAACAACACCCATTATTGCAGAGGTCATACATAACTTTACGGTTATTAATACGCTTTTTAATACCTAATATTGCATAAGCTAACATCTAGTGTCTGTCCTCTTTCTCTATACTATCTTTCTAACTCAATTACTTATAACTTTCACTCTTATTTACTTTGTTCTTCCTAAAAACTCACTTACTCTTGGTCTATCAAAGCAGGTTATGATGCTCTTTATTGAGCTGAACTTATCTTCGCAGGCCTTGATAAGTGGCCTAAAAATTGCAATTAGCCGGAGGAGTATAAACTACAATACTAAATTGGTTATGGTCCCTCTGCGGCATCATCATCTTCTTTTTCACTTTCTTTTTTCTTTTACTTTAGTTTTGTAGTATGTAACGTTTTTGGGCTTTATTTTATTATTAAAAAAATGTCCTTTAATGTAATACAGATGTTGTTGCTCTTTTAATGTAATACAGATGTTGTTGCTCTTAGGATATTGCTTAATATTTTACATATATGATACTTACACTGAAAATAATTTTGGATATCCAAAAAAAAAGCTTTTTTTTAAAATTTTAAAGCAATTACGGATACATAAAACATACACATCCTGCATTCATAATATCACCAACCTTTCTGTAAATAACAGAATATCAGCAATAAAAAACATGAGCCAGAGGTTGTAGTTTTATAAATTCTTTGTATTATAAAAAAATATATTTTAAAAATCATAAAAGTTAATTCCATTTAGAAAATTGATAAAAAGAAACAATAACAAATTAAGTCATAAATAAAATAAACATTTAATCATAAAATAAATAAAGTAAACATTTAATCATAAAATAAATAAATAAAATTATTCTTTTTATTGACTTACCTGAGAATTTTATTTTTGCTATTCACCAAGGTTTTTTGTAACATTCTTTTCCAAACAACGTTTGATACCACTTCATTACACATAAGAGTATGTTTAAATAATTTCAAAACTTATTAACAAAGAAACAATTCTTTCTATTGCAAATTACCTCCCTCATAATATAATTATATATAAAAAAATGATGTACGAGCTATTTTAGTCTGTTGAGTCAAAACTGCTAGTTTTGACTCAACAAACTAAAATAACTCGTAGTATTTTTACAATAACAGTCTTAAATGTTAGATTTCGTGTGAAATAAAAATAATTTTAATACTGTAAGCCGTTAAAAGTTAAAAATTTTTTTCTATTTAACTTTTAAACGTATTTATATTTGCAGAATCAATTGTATTTTGTGACAATAAATTTCAAACGTTTACCACTCTATTTGATAAATAGTAATATCTCCAACTTTTTGTAGCAAATTGTTAATGAAGTCTTTTATTATGAAGATCTCTGAAAATATTGTTATAAAGCTTAAGGGGTACTTCAAATTTAATATAATCAGTTGAATTTGATATTTTTAACATTTCTTTTCCTACTTTCTTGTTACCTCGGTAAATTTAGTATTTTTCTTTTCTTTTCAGAGGTATGCCTCTCAGTGATTCAATCCTAGTTAATCTATGCTACAGATTCTCCACTCTATTAACATCTTTAATCCAATATGAGCTTCATGCGGTTGTTGCATGTTCTAGGTATGGTCTAATAGTTGACTAATATTAAAAGCTGTATTGTAGCAAGCATCAAGATATTTAAATGTGTTTCTTATAAAACCTTATGTTCGATGAGCTTTACTTGCAACACAGGTAAAATAATTTTCCCATTTGAAAACCCATTTGATATCACAACACGTAAAACTTTTTTTTTTTATTTCTGTCTATTACAAAATACGCTCTTTTATTTTGTAGTTTAATTGAGGATTCGAATTACCAATGTGCATTACTTTACATTTATCTCCATTAAGTTTAATTGATCTCATTTTGTGACCAGTCTAACAATATATTTAAGTCTTTTTGAAGAGCATTGTTGCTTTTTAATTTGTAATTACTGACATAGCTTTTAGCATCATCTGTAAATAGTTCCAATTTATTTAAAATATTTTTATTTCTAAATCTTTTTTAAAAATTACCATTAGAAAAGAAACAAGGAACTAAACCTTTAGGTACTCACTTTTGACTCCTTCCAATCTGAAACAAACTTTCCTGGAACATTTCTTCATTTTCTATTACAATTCTATACACTACTGTACACTATTGAATAATTTACACCATTGTAAAATATAAGAATGGAGCAATAACTATAAAGCTTGCAACATTGTTTTGATGACGAAATCAAATGCTTTTGCAAAGTCTGAGAATTGATATTACCACCAACAACCACCACCACCAACCATCACCAACAACCACTTCCAACCACCAATCATTACCAGCAGTCACCAACCACCAATCACCACCACCAATCACCAACTTCAATAGTTCTTGTTATGAAATCTAAATCTTCTAATAAATTTGATTTTAGATAAATTAATTAAATTAATTTATTTAAAATCAAGTGGTTCATAATAACATTTTGAATAGTTTCCTTCATATTTTTGCATACAATCAATGGTTATGATAATGGTTGATAGTATGCAGGAGTATGCATAGTATATATACCTCCTGATGGAAAATGAGCTAGCGACTAGCTAGCAAATAGTTGAGCAATTTTTCTTTTCTTACGTTATTGTTTAAAATTGTATTTTACGTCTTGAAAAATTAGATTTTTAGTATTGATTTTAACATTTTTATAATAATTATTGAACTTGTAATATTGCAATTATTTACGATGTCGCTATTTATATGTCGCTATTTAGCTATCGTAGTTTTGTAGCTATTGGTATTACAGCGAGATATCTTTAGCATTGTAGCTAGCTATAACCTTTTTGTCATCCAAGATGTATATGCTGTACATGAATCAAATTTTATATTTGAAATAAATTTACCACATCAGTATTATTTTTACTTTTTTTATTATGTTTTATGCCATTTTTAATATGTTTAAATAATATTTAAATTCACAAACATTTTCCCAATCAAAACTTGAAAAATGCTTTAAACGTTCTTTATAATATAATATATAACATTTTAGCTTTTTTTTGATACCGTATCAAACTTGTTATTTTTGTAAAAGTATTTGAAGTATATTTACAACTCCACCTACAGGTGGTAAGTGTTTTAAACCTAACATTAGATGATTAACTTTTTTTATAAAACTAACTCTAATAGATTTGTTTCAAACCCAAAGCTAACTAGAAATGTTGATAACAAAACATTATGATACAAAAAGCATTCACTTAAACATTAAATTTGTTAAACCTTCAAATCTGAATTGCTTTCCTGTTTATAGAAACCATCACTGAGTCATTTTGTATTTGAAAAATTCAAGCCTCCACTAATTAAAACCCCGAAATTCCTCCGCTTATAAGAATTTTAGAATTTTTTTGAAGCTTTATAAGCATGTCATATTTTTGTGAATTGTATAAAAAATTATTTGAGTAATATATAATTAAACATTATCACTTTCCAGTTAATTTTTGCCAAGTTTACAATTTTTTTACGTTCAGGCACTCCAATATCAAAAATGATTAACTTTTGGTGCCAATTTATTTAATCTTGAATACTAATATACTTACCAATTTCATACTTCAATACTTAAAAATTAATATTTTTCATAAAGATTTAACTATTTTATTTCTTTTAAAATGCACAAGTGTCATTTTATTTTTATTTTTTATAGCTTTATATTGTTTTAGAATTAAGTCATCTTGAAAAGGAAGTTGTATAATTGAATCTAGAAGAAGACGTTGTATAGAAGAAAGTTGCAAGTTGAGGACAAAGTTGTATATTTGTATCTCGAGGAAGAAGTTGTATAAAAGAAAGTTATTAGTTGAGGACAAAGTTCTATAATTTTATCTTGAGGAAGAGGTTGTATAGAAGAAATTTGTATCTACTGATCATAAATATTTGCATATAACATAAAATCCAATGCAATCAGTTGCTTTCCCTAGTGGTTTAAAGGAGATTCAAACTTGTCTACACAAACATGTAAGATGCTTGAGTTTTGAAAATAGACTACTTTGAACTCACTACTTGAAATTGCTGGCAAAATCCGTTATAAGAGTTTATGCTGTTATTTAGTTTGAGATTAAGGTGATACTTTTAATTTACTTATTTTAGATATAAATACAGAAAACAAAGTTAAAAATATATTTTTTCAAATTATAATTTACTTAACAATTTTTTTTTTTAATTTTTTAATTTTTATTTAGGTGCCCCAAGAAGTCCTTACGGTTATATCACAGAGCTGGAAGAGTATTTGAAAGGAAGTTCAAGTTTCATAACATCAGTAAGAATAGAACTTCCTTTCAAATACTCTTCGTGGAAGAGTATTTTAAAGGAAGTTTTATTCTTACTGATGTTATGAAACTTGCCAAGAGGTGGCGATGAACCACGGATCTCTAGCTTCTGAGGCAAGCGCGCTAACCACTGCCCTACAGCTGCTCATTAAAAAATTGTATTTATGATTTCATTTATAATGAAAATAAAAGACGTCGTTTCACGTCACATTAAGTGAGACGTCGTTTCACATCACATTAAGTCTTAAGTAGATAACCTTAATTTACCGGAACAAGTTTGAGCAGTATATTGCATTTCAGTGTGTCTGCTTCTCTGCCTGGAATATACACGTAATTTAATTCTTTAGACTTGGTTGTTCAAATAAAGTAGGAGATAAGTATAAATAAAGGAGATTTTGAAAAAATAGAACATACAAGTACAAAAGAAATTACTTATAAGACGTACTTCTTAATAAATCTAAATAAAATGGCTTTTTTTTTTTAATAAAACCTTTTGACTATTTGGACCTAATTTAAAATGTCAACATATAATATTGAAAAAAAAAAAAAGTAATATTGTTACAATATCGCAAATGAATCTGTTTGCATAATTGATATTAAAATAAATGCACATTCATCTAGAATTATATGAAAGAAAAGACCGAATGAAATAAATTGGAGTTTGAAAAATGATATACAACACCAAGTAGACGCAAAAAGTAGAACTTTTAATAGAAAACAAAAAATAGAATTCTTAACAGGTCAAAAACGAAGAGAAAATTCTTTATGTTGAAGAATAAAAACACAAACCAAATGAAAGATAAAAGTATTGGTACATACTGAAGAGAAGAAAAATATAAATAAACATGGTAAAAATAACTTTTAATTAATAACAATAAAAATGTTAAAAGTATTTTCAAACGTTCAGAATTTTAAATAATAAAGTTCTAAACGCTTTTAAAGTTTTCTCTTTTTAATTTTTTCTTTATAGCTTTTCCAAAAAAAAATTTATTAATTGGTTTCGATCTATAATTATAAAATATAACCATCAGGAAGGATTTTATAAAAAATATTTTGTATTTTAATAGGAGACTTAACCATAATATAAAAAATGTTCATAAAATATTTTTGTGTATCTTGGGATGGAGAAAAATTGAAGACATAAAAAAATGTAAAATCTGTTTAAAACTTTTGATCTTCAGTTGCTATGATACTTGAATTTGTATTTATGTAAGCAAATATTTATATAAGCAAATATTTTTTTTATTTTTTGTACTTGTTGCACAAAATTTATATCAAAATTTTAAACTTAAAATTTTGAAAAAAATTCTTATTTAGTTTGTATGGCGCATAGGAGTTAGGTAGAAAGTTAGTATGGTACATAGGAGTTAGGTACATAAAAGAGTCAATAAAAAGTGTTTAAGAAAATTATGATCTATATGACTATAAATATGACTTCTTAAATATTATAAAACTTGATTTTTTGAAAAAAAGCATTTTTTTTTTTATTCTAAAATATTTAAGTTATTAGAATTATTAGAGCTTTTAATAAAGTCGTACATTAATTTATTTTACACCAATCAAAAGTTTTTAAATAACAACTTTCATATTCGTTGTTATTCATTGTAGACGGATTGACTAAGAGGAAAATACATAGAATCCATTTACCAAAAAAAAAAGTAATCTAATTATTACGTCTACAAAACAAGATTTTCAATTTTGACTGCGCATTTTACTGTGATGATAGTATTCAAAAATGTTTCATATTTACAATATTCAAAAATGTTGCATATTTACAGTATTCAAAAATATATTTTGCTTCACTTATACGTACCATTAAAAAATTAATTACTTTTTGTTAATTTGTTAATAGAATTTGGTGAATAGCTTATCAATTAGCGATTTTTTGACCTATCTTACACATTTTTACATTCCTTATAAAGTTTTTTACACAGAAAATCTAAAGATATCTACAAGCTCCAAATTACAACTCATTGTAATTTTTCACCAATCAGGTTTTTTCAATGTTTATTATTCTCTTCAAAACGAATTTTAGAGCTTTTGCATATATGATACCTTTGTCAAAGGTGCTTTATGAAATTAGACAGGTTATTATTTGCAGTTAGGTTTATGTCATTTACAACTACATCTAAATATTAGGATTTGCTAGGTTCAAGTTTTCTTGTATTATATATGAATAAATATTAATATTTTTCATGTTTAACTATATAAAAATATAAATATCATATACAAAATCGTAAAAATCATAATTAGACAAATTTATATTGATAATATACATATTGAACAATGTATTTCAAGTCTCAAATTACTGGTCCACTACGGACCGCAAAATTATTTGACTATAGAAGTGAAACTTTAACTAAAAAAAGTACTTCAGATACGCCGTCGTTTGAAATCATTTTATTCGACATAACTTACGTGCTAAATAGTGTTGGAATAGCTCGTTTGAAAGATAAGATTTTATTAAATTATGCAATAAAAAGAGATATTAAATTTAAAATCTATTCTTAGCTTTTTGGTAACACAAAAAATATTATCAAACTAAAAAAAAAATTGGAAAAATGTTTTTCTAAAAAAATAATAAGAAAAAGCATTTTATTCTACAGCTTAGAAGGATACGTCATGATAATTATACAAAAATGTATACATTTTATAAAAGCTGAACGTTTAAGCAATAAATGGTATATGATAATGTAATTTTTGAAAATGTAATTTTTACTTTTGTCCACCGCCTGGCCCACTGCGCAAAGACTCATTTACAAATTACCACCTAACAATTTTTTGTAACGCTTTATTTTACTTTCGTCAAATGTCCACTTTGAAGCGATTCTGTCCCACTGTGAGTCACTATAAAATATAATAGAATGCGTACTCGTTTGTTGCTAACAAGCATCATAGTAATTAATTATCAACTAGGAAAATATATTTAGCTTACTGCTTCTTGTAAACCAGTCGCAAGTCATAGATTTTTTTGTGTTTATTTATTTATTTTTTTATTATTATTTTTTTTTTTTTGCACTAATATTGAACGCAGAAAATATTAAAATAGAATTCGCATTTTTACTAGAAAGTACAATGTCATTTTTATTAGAAAGTAAATGCCTACGGCAAAGATAGTGTACAAAAAAACAATTTTCAGCTCAATTTAAGTGCGTCTTTTTTTTGAGGTCTAGTCTAGGTCTTTTTAAAAAGTAAATTTTTGTTTAAAACAAACAAGTTAATTGATCAGTTTCTAACCTGAATAGAACAAGTTTTTTTTAAAAGAAAAAAAATTAGACACATTGTATTGAACACTTTACAAACGAATGTTGTTAATTTTTAATAAATAATAACTCTTTTTAAAAAGTAAAATTTTCGATTTTAAATTTAAAACGTTTAAAAGTTTTTAATAGTTTAATTTGAAAATTACAATTTATTATAGCACTAAATTATGTATCAAATACTAGACGTCCAAGTTTAAAATAATAATAATAAAAATAAAAAAGAACCTACAAACAATTGTGATAAACAGGTAACAATAGGAACTTTGTTTAGCATTAAATCAGTTCAAAAAAGTTTAGTTTGAAACCAGTTTAACATTTTAGGAAATGTTTGTTTAAATTTTTTTTAAATTTACATTTTTTAAAAGAAATAAGCGACAAAACTTTACTTCCGAAATTATATTTTATTTAAACATATAATTCGTCGTTTGCATTATGTTTTATTTCCGCGTCACTTATTTTTCCTTAAGTATTTTTACTTTATAATTACTTAAAATTTTTATTTTTTTTTTAGCTTAATTTACCACTTTTTTTTTTTTTTTTTCTTAATTTTTTTTTATTTTTTTATTTTCCTTTTTAAAATTTACATGTAACCATATAATAACAATAATAGTAATAGTATTATCTATAATAATACAAACAATACAATTATAATAAAATATAACTAATAAGAATAAATATGAATAATTATTTGAAAAGGAAGGTGTCACTCAAACAGAAGCCTAATCAAAGAAGTGACACCAAATAATTATAACAATAATAATTAAAAAATAATAATATTATCAATAATGTTACAAACAATATAATTATAATAAAATATAACTAATAAGAATAAATATAAATATAAATAATTATTTGAGTCACTCAAACAGAAGCCTGATCAAAGGAGTGACACCAAATAATTTTAACAATAATAATTAAAAATAATGATATTATCTATAATAATACAAATGATATGATGACATGATCGAAATGAGTGACACCAATTAATTATAACAATTAGAATAATAATAAAATAATAATAAAAATAACAAATATGTACCGAAAATCGCTAAGAAAATGAATAAAATAATAATAACAACGATAAAGCTAAAATAAGTTAAATAATAAGACAAAAAATATGAAAACACTTAATAACAACAGAAAACCAAAAATAAAAATAGTTAGCAAAACAGAACAAATAAAAAACAAACCTTACACAAACGAAAAGGCAAAACACCAAAACTACAAGATGAAACACAAAAACTACAATACGAAAAGGCAAACACAAATACTTCTACAAAATAAAATTAAATTAAAAAATAAGGACAAACTTTAGTTATTATTTGTAAAATAAAAAAAAAAATGTGTAGAAAATTTGGTAAAATAGAAAAACAGAAAACAACAATAAAAGTAATTAGCGCAAATAATAACAAACTTTACGCAAACGAAAAGAGAAACACAAAAATTACAAAACGAAATGCATACACAAAATGATAATATTTAACAAATATAATTTTTAATAAAAATAACTAATGGTAATACTATAATATTAATTAATAATTAATATAACAATAAAAAATAATAATATAACAAATATCACATATTTGCCACAAAAAAAAAAGGTGTAGAAAAATGATTCATTAGTTGTTCTCGAAATTCCTTTATCTATATTTCCACTTCTACTTAAATGATTTTTTTTGACTTTCACTTTGTACATCCATTTGGGAAGTAAATCCATAGTAAAATATAGATTGTGTTTTGATTAAAATATAGATTGATTTTTTAATTATTAACAAAAACAATTTTGTTAATAATTAAAAAATTAAAAATGTAAAAAAAAATTTTACTGAAATTTTTTTTATCAATAACTTAACTAACCTTTAGTTTTTTACTTAGATACTGTAGTTATTTAAACATTATAGATAATCTATAAACTTATAAACACTTCAAATGTATTAAACATAAAACGCATATATTAGATATATCAGAAATAAATGAAAACACAAAACTCATGTATGCACTGCATTGTTTAAATATTTACTATCGAAATCGGGATAAAATAATTTGCCTTTTATTTAGGAGGTACATTTTAAAAATCAAATCTATTTTACAAAAATTATGTAAATTTGTAACTTATTTCAATAAATTTTTAAATTTTATTTTATAATGAGATATGAAGATGGCACATTTAAAAGGATAAACTAACTTTTACAACAAAGTATACTTGCATTATGTCGCCAAAATATACGTCCATATTTACGATCACAGTATCTATTGGAGACTAAAATACTCGTCCACCGACGTTTTAAATATAAGAAAGTAGATGTATATAAAAAAGAAACACTATGTAAAGCTTAACGCAAACTTTTGTTTATTTGTTTAATTTTCAAAATAGACAAATTTTGAAAAAACGACTTTTCATCTCTTGAAACAGATTGTTAGTTTAGCATTTACTCTTAATGAAAAAACACAAAGCTCTTTTATGTTGACAAAAAAATAAAACTTTGATTTCCAACGAGGAAATTGAGGTTTAAAGTTGATTGGACATATGAAAACTGGTTGTCTAAAATTTTCTAGAAAAAAAATAAGTAATAGGGGAAAGGCGTCTATGATGGCATAGCGCCTATGATGGCATACCGATCATATTTTCATAAATATTGGTTAAGGCAAAAAAGTGATTAGACCTACATGTCTATACTGACTTTACATATATATATATATATATATATATATATATATATATATATATATATATATATATATATATATATATATATATATATATATATATATATATATATATATATATATATATATATATATATATATAGTAAAAAGAAATTTGTTAGTAAATAGTAAAAATGAATTTTTACTTTACTAAAAAATTTTTGGTTCAAAAAACACATAAACGCAATACCTCTTATACGCATGCGCAAAATTCTACACTGCTGTGTAGCATAAAAGGGTTAATTAGGATGATTACGCGCAATTTCTGGCATTTCTAAGGAAAGACTCTTAGATGATATTGTCAAATTACCCTTGATGCTAACCAGCCCTATCCTCCCCTATGCCATCATAGGAGCAGTAGTTGCTTATGATGGCATACTTGTGCTTTTTATAAATAAAAATAACTAATAAAAAAGCTAAACTGATGAATACTCCTAGAGTTATTATTGTTCTACATGTAACAAAGAATGTATCGATATCAAAACTTTTATTCTTGGTCTTCAGGATACTGAATAATGAAGCTTCAGAGTTAAGTATGTCATAATAGGCGCCTTTCCCTTAGTGAAGTTCAATAACTTTCAGTGTTTGATGATCGGCAATAAACTTTGACTAATCAGAAAATAAATGTGTAAATGAATCGATACTTATTTTTGTAGAAGAAGTGATTACTTCATGTTGAGAAAGAGTTATTTAAAAATGTCCTGAATTTTATACTGTGTATCATTAAGTATTTCGCCGTTTAAACTTCACAAAATTAAACTTACAAAAATATATAAATACATGGCGAGAAAAAAACACAAGCTCAGTCTTATCGCGAACCTTCATAAGAGTATAAATTATAAAAAAAAAAAAACTTTATTACTTACAAAATAATTTACACTATTTCACGATATACAAACATGAGTAAATTATTTTAATTTTGCTTAACTTGTTCTAAAAAACACGTTCTAATATATAAATAATAATACATAATTATAATATTATTTATTTATTAGAATGTATACGTATTTAATACGTACATATTTCGTATTAGCTTGACAAAGCATGTAGACATATAGAAACGTGGTTAGCATCAATTCAAAGCTTTAGAATAAATTTAATTTTTTGTCATTTATCAAAAGGTTCAGCCTTAAGTTTATTTTAATATAACCAAGAAAAGAAATAGTTTTTAACTCGTTATTCAATAACATGTTTTATATTTTAGGTAACCTGTTTGAGTTTGAATACTTAATAGTAAAATAACGTGTTTCTAGTGGAATGTAATGGTTATCTGAAAATTTTGCAATATCAAAAATGGTTATGAAAAAATATAAGATATATATTTAAATAAAATGAAAGCCATTTTTTAAATCAACTTTGAACAAAAAAAGAAGAGTGTTATAACGACTAAGTTTAAATACATTGAGTATATAAGTTTATAAAATAGAAACTTACTGTGTGAAAGCCATCTACATATGCAATAGTTCTTTAAAATTTGTTTTTGTTTGCCAAGGGGTTGTACATAAAATACGTACGCTCATAGGGGGCAGAGGGTCTTCAAATAGCGTACGAAAACGTATGGGGTAGGGGGGTAGGTGGAGGGTTCAATATAAAAGTAAGTACGTACTAATTTGAAAAAAAGTGGCCTATGTCCCTAATATCAGATGCATATATAGTATAAAAAAACACACACAAAAATACTATAGGGTAAATTAATTATGTTAATCTATTCACGAAATGAAATTGTTTTAATTCAAAAAGAAAATTTATTATTTTATTCACGCTTATTAAGAATAAGTTCCATAGTTGGACGATAATCAACAACACATGACCAATTTGGAACCTGCTCACATGCAAGCTATTAGTTATCTAAGCTACTCATCCTATGATTTTCACAAGAATAACAAAGATAATCATCAGATACCAAAATGCTATTGAAGTTTGAGGTAATTACTTCTGATTTAAATTGATTTTAAATCTAATTTAAAATCAATTTTAAATCAGTTTAGTTCAAGTTTAAAATCTCTGATTTTAAACTTGAATTAAACTGGAATACCCCAGTTTGTCTATCCTTTATAATCCTATAATTCTAGTTAACCGACATAAAAGACGTTCAAGGTCGGAATAGGGGTTTGACAAGAGTTTTTACGCTTTTAAAGCAGCTGTGGTTTTTATTAAGCCAATATTTGAGATTAGTGTGATAAAATTAAGATACCGAAAAACTTTATGCTTTGTAATCAAGTTATGACCTCATTATGGTCTCATGGTGATCTCATTGTTATTTTTGAATTTATTTTATTTATGGTTGTGACATTGGCATGAAAGTACTATGAGATCATTATTTGATATTGTACTATGAAAAGTTTTTGATATTAATATGATATAAATGATATAAAAAATATAAAACAAGGTATCGGTAATAAGATCAAAGGATCTTGTTGTCAGAACCCTTAATAAGTTCAAACAAGTATTTAACAAAATTAACAATAATAATATTAAACTTCTACAAATTTCAAAAGTATATAGTATATAATCAAAAGAGAGATCTCGCCAATATTTCATATAAATGCATACGTACCAAAATATAATAAAATGTTAAGTAAATAGTAGAAAAATCAACAAAATAAGTAAGAATAAACTTTTTATAAATGTAAGTAATTAAAGGCAAAGTTATTAATTCATATTATTAATAACAACATAATAACTCAATTAATGAAAAAATTAGGATTTTTAATTTACTTTTAAAAAGGCGAAAAGTAATGGGTAGTTCAAAATCAAAGTTTAGCAAAGCAATTTTATTCCAAAGGTATGATGAGCGATTGGCAATGCAAAATTGATTAAAGTTCGTTTGACAAAAAAGTTGATTTAAAAAATCAGTATTTCTCAAATTGTATTTGTTGATAGGTTAAAAATATCTTTGAAGGTAGATAGGGACAAGTCATTTTAAGTATACAAAACATAAAATATTATATAGATTTAGCTTGTATATATTTGAAATTTTCATTTCAACAAAATATTTTGTGTGAAAAAAGCAATTTGCAAAGCAGATTAAATGGATTACATGTTTCTGACGGTAATAAAGACGTTGCAACTTACTTTTTTATGCACTACCCCAGGCAATATTAGCATAATTTAAATGAATAAAGTTTGGCAATATTAGCATAATTTAAATGAAAAAAGTTTGATTAAAAGTATATAAATGAAAAATAAAGTTTAATTAAAATTTTCTTATTGAGGTAGATTTGTGCTTTGTATAAAACTCCTGATTTTTGAAATTTTAGTGCTTATGTAATCGTTATGATGATTCCAAATGATGTTTTCATCAAGAGAAACACCTAAAAATTTCGTTACGTAATCCCTTTTTATTTTAATTTGACTGAAAAAAAATTTGAGGTAAGTTTAATGGAAAAAACCGCTTTTTGGAAAGCGAATGGAATAAGGTCCACTTTGTTTTATTAGTATTTAGAGTTTTGAACAGCTAAAAGTTGTTCTAAAAGTTTTTAAAGCTTCTATTCATCAAGGTGTATTCCCCGAACAGTTAAAAATTGCCAAAATTACTCCTATATTCAAAGCAGGAGACAAATCAATTATTAGTAATTATCGCCCTATTTCTGTTCTTTCCACATTTTAAAAAATTTTACAAAAAATTACTTTACATTAATCAATTTGGTTTTAAAAATGATAGCTCAATTGAACATGCAATTATCCAATTTTTACGTGAAATCTCAAAATCATTTGAAAAATTACAATATACGTAAAGACTTTTTGTTGACTTATCAAAAGCTTTTAATACGGTCGATCACCAAATTTTATTCTATAAACTTAAACACTATGGAATAAAAAGTAAAGTTTTAAAATGGTGTGAAAGTTATTTGTCGAGTATCACGTTGAACTCGTGTGGTGACTGATGAGGATTGCTTAAGAAATAATTAACTTATTAAATAAATTATTATTAAATTATTAAATAAATAATTAAATTTCTACTTAAGATAATATTTTTGACTGCTGAAAAGATTATATAGAACATTTAGATTACAATTTAATCTTATAAATTTACTTTTTTAGATCAGTATTGCTGTTTTACATATATTATTGGATACAGCATTATCTGACGTCATACCAATACGTTACAACAGTACTTATGTTAACACATTTAATGATATCAATATTGCGGATATACCTTTCATAACTGTGTTCAGTTATACTCAAATTCTAGATGAAAATAGTTTGTTTAATCAAAATATGGATGATGGCTGCTATCACAAAAATGAGGAACTCAAAGAACCTGCTAAAAATTATAGATCAATTCAATTGAAAAATCCTAAAATCAGACATTTTAAAGTGCTCGACACATTCCAGTAAATTTAATTTCATTCATTATTTGAGACTTTACTTTTTATATTTATTTGTTTAATTTTTGATTTATGCAGTTACTTATACAATATCTCATCTTATATCTTCTAATATTGTTACAAAAATTTTAGTACGAAACTATGAATTCAAAAAAAAAATTAGGAATTTTCAAAATATTATAATATCAATAATCATTCAAATATCATTTCAAAATATTATAATATTAATAATATCACTCAAATATCATTTCAAAATATTATAATATTAATAATATCAAAAATTAGGAATATTCAAAATATCCGTTATTGTTCACGTATAATCAACATTCAAAATGGTTTTCATAGGGTGTTTCATTGTTATAGAATTCTAATATGACAAACTAAGCATACGGAAAATTTGTATTTTTTTATCAGTTATCTCCATTATGTTTAGTCAGAGATAATAGTTGTAAAAAGGTAGTTATTACTTTTATTATAGCCTATTTAAATATCCAACCGGACTTGTTTATAAGATAAATAGTAGGCCAGTTTTCAGTCAAGTTCTATATTTTCTAAATTTGTCTAACAAATCTTTTTGATGCTAATTTGAAAATTCGTGCTATCATCACAGATAAAATTCAACCAATCAACTTGCATTTGAAAAACTCAATAAAAAGTACAACTCTACAGAGAAATTTTTTTTATTCGGGACAAAATAAAATTTAAACATTATTTGATAGTTTACATACTTTAAAAAACATCAGAAATAATCTATTACATTCAAATAGGTTTATTTTTCCAACATTCAATTTTAATTAATTTGAAAATAAAATTAATGTCGATGCTGGAGACATTCGTTGGTAGTTATTTCACCAAGTTAATGAAGAAGATAACTTACTGCCTGCTAATTTAGGAAAGCTTCCAAACTTACTCCAACTGGTTTCCATCAAGGTAAAAATAAAAAAAGTGTTAAGCTTGCTTTGAAAATTTTTCATAAGTTAACTTATTCTGCCATTAAATGTAATTTTCCAAAAGAAATGCTGAAAGTGCTGCTAATTTGCTATATTTAATAAATACTTGGTTGAACTTTTCAAATTCAATGAATATTTAAAATATTAAAAATAAAATAGGAAATGCTGTTGTTGTAAATGATCAAAAGCCTAAATTTTTTTGCTTAATATGTAAGAGAATGGTATAATGCAAATTTGAAAGAATGTCACAAATTGTTACAGATATCAAATGGACTAATTGTCACATTAAAAGAAATTGCATCTTTGATCGAAGATTTATTATCAGAAGAATATGATTACATTTTAACCAGCAGATTCCAAACTTTTTTTTTTCCTCTTGAAAAATATTTTGGAAAACTTAGGCAGACTAGTGATGGAAGATTTCTAGTTTGCTTGAAGTTGAAAGTTTTAAAAGAATAGTCAGCATAAAATCTCAAATTAAAGAATGGCTTTGAATAAATGGTCTAATAATCAATTACCAGTAAATAATGATGCAAAAAGAACTAGAAACAACTTTAATTTTGTTAGAAAATGAAAAAAACAAATATGATTTATGTGAAAGTTCAAAGGAAGTTGTTATTCATGTTGTTGGGAATATAACTTTCTTTGTGTCAAAATCTTGTTTAAACAACAAAATATCTTCATTTTAAATGGAAATAATCAAAAGGGGTAGTTTAATTGAACCCAGTGAAAGCATTGTAGGTTATGTTTGCTCCTTATTTTGCATATTAGACCATTTAGAAAAGAAAAAAAAAAAGTATATTCACACAACAGTTATGAATATATTTTATAATAATGAACAATCAATTTAAAATGGAAAAATTTAAAAAGATAAAGTAGAAGCCTTTAAAAATTGACACAACAAATAATAACCTTTTTTATTATAATTATGGTTTGCTATAGATGTACTATTGTTTGAATTCTGGACCAGCGCCGTACTATTGCAAGTGCAACAAGTGCAATTGCACTGGGCCCCCTATTAAATACATTAGAAAAACTTCTCCAATACCATAAATACTACGAATTGAAAAAAAAAAAAAATTTTTAATTTCTGCACAGGGCCCCCAAAAGTTACAGCACGGTTCTGTTCTGGACATTGAATTTTTTATTTAGCTTTGCTTATCCATAGCTTTCATCTTTTTCTAAAGCTAAATTATGGAGGACCATGTTTTGATTTGTTTTGATTTCATTTTTTTGAAAAGTTGTGATTTTCCATATTTTTTTTGCTTAAATATATCACTTTTTTCTCATGCTATATACTTTGTCGAAATATATTTGCTAACTTTAATATTTAGATAATACAGTTGCGGATTAAGACTTCTTGGGGCGCGAGGCTATTTTTGGTTTTGAAGGCCTTTTAATGGGCCAGAGCCTAAAAGTGACTGGAAAAAAAAAAGAAGAAGGTCCTCTAAATTTTTTGGGGGCTCCTAAATTTGCGGGGCCTGGGGCTATAGCTCCCTAGCCCCCCTTGATCCGGCACTGAGATAATTTTAGTTTTTATTGTTAACATTATGAAATTTAATCGTAAAAACTGGCCTACTGTTTTTTGGACTTGTAAGAAACAAGTCTGGCTGTTTATTTAAGTAGGCCATGTTTTTATTACTATGCACTAACTTCTAACAATATTACTAATTGAGTTATTTATTTTTTCGCTTCTTTATTTCTAACAGTAGTTAGGCAAAGTCACTTTATTTCTAACAATGATTAGGCAAAGTTACTTTATTTTGTGCAAAAACCAAACCTCTGTTAAAATTTTTATTTTTATTATTTTGAAGGTAAATGAAATGATTATAAGATATCAAAACTAAGCATTAGGACTTAGCTGCACACTAAAATAAAAAACTTTAGTTAATTTATTATGTAGATTTAAACACTTTCCTTATTATTTATTTCGTCCATATGTTACTTAATTTTATTTAAAGTTGTTTTGGTAAAATCAAAAGATGTCGATTGTCTAGTTTATATTATTTTAGCATGAGATAAAAGAAAAACACCATTTACTTTTACAATCTAATTTTTTTTTAATTAAATAATAAATACACAAAAGAACTTTTAACCTTTTTCGGCGCCATCGTGAACGTTTAACAGGTAAAATTACGGCTGAGATTGCATTATTTTAACAAGTTTAAGTTAATGAAAAACTTAAACTAGTATTGCGTTTTATGAAAGAGTAATAATACTTTATTCATCTCAGAGTGCAGGTATTAAACAAAATAGTTAGACAACAGGTTCACGGTTTCCAACATTTTTCACAACGTCTTTCGTTGCTATATTGCGTGGTAAATTGAAATTGGTACTTTAAAAATTAGGCGTCATCAAAAGCTTTTAAAAATGGTCAAATTGCAGCACTATAAAATTAACAACTGAACTCAATACTGTTGGAAAGCTTGTATAATGAACAATGTTCATACATCTAAGAAGCATTAAGATTTTTCATTGCTGAGAAATAATAGAGAAAAAAGTTATTTATCAACAAATTATCAACAAATTTTTCCTGTAAAACATACTGGAGGTAATAAGTAACTCGAGTAACGAAAGTACAACCTAAGGTAACCCTTATACAATTCTCTGGTACTGTTAAAACACCCCAATAATCATTGAACACCTACTTGTAAATCATCCACAAATTAAATAGGTGTGATTAGCAAATGATGCCAAATCTATTGGAAGTATTAAAAAAATACATTGCTGGTACCAACACCTTATTGACGAAGGATGCAAACACTGTTATATATGGGTTGATGCGGTGCGGGGCCCCCTGCGATAGCCGCATCAGGTTGCGCCAAGGCTGCGCCTAGATTGGGGGATGCGTGATCCTCTTTTAGAGGAGAAGGAAAGCGAAGAGTTTTGTTCATTCCCTCTTTTTTTAATGGGTTGAGGGATTTATAAAAGGTAATTTGTTGAAAGAGATTTATTTAGGAAAATTTTAGCAGCCGTAGCGCAGTGGTTAGCGCGCTTACCTCATAAACTAGAGATCCGTGGTTCATCGCGACCTCTAGGCAAGTTTTATAACATCGGTAAGGATAGAGGTGTGAACTTTTTTTCAAATATTTTTCCGCTGTGCTTTGTTATAAGACCGTAATATATTTGTTATAAGACCGTAATTTGTTATAAGACCGTAATACAATATCTAGCACCCAAAAATGAAATGCTTAGTTATCTATTGTTGCCAACCTTATTTGAAAACGGCATGTCTTGAGGATAACATTAGGATACTTTTTACATTAACTTTACGGGATAGAGGACTCGGTACACCTATACTAATTAATAAAGCGCCGTATCAGTTTTTATCATCTGTTAACTAAAAACCACGTACGACAAATTTTTAGATCGAGACACAGCTTAAAAAACAAAAACTTTGTTAGGATTGTGCTAAAAGGTCTCTAAAATATCATTGAGCGACAGTCTAAAGCATTGAAAGGAAAAAAAAGAGGCGACTGTGAAAGTACTTAGTTAAACGCCTTACCTCTAGAAAAGCAAGGTTTTGTTTTAAACAAGGTTTTGTTTTAAACAAGGTTTTGTTTTAAACATTTTGAAATTATAAAGTTGAGAGAGAGTTATAACCAAAATTATTTTAGCCAATTATGGTAGAGGATATGAATTAACATAAAATATTTTAAAAAAAACTTCGCTCAACTATCTTTTGTCTAAGAGGATCCAGATACTCCTGACCATAATGAATAACTTTGAAATCGAAGTTCATTTTAAGCTGGATGCTATTTAAGCAAGGATTTAATAATTTTTTAGCTTTTGTATGTTTTAATTTTTTTACATAATATGTTTATTGTATTGTAGTTTTTATTGATATGATGTAGTTAAAAATTATTCCAATAGACCTATGTGCGGTAGGGTGTATCGAAAAACAACTTTTTTTGAATTTTAAATTGTAATAGAGCGGAAAAGTTGCATAATGATATAAAAAGTAATTGTGCCAAATTATTTTGTATTTTTTTTATGTCTTCAGTTTGCGCTAGGGTTTTATTTTTAGTAGTATTTTTAGTATTTTAGAAAAACACG